ATATCAAAGAGTTCTTGTGAAGTTGAAAATAGAGTAATGACCACTAATACATATGAGATTCAGTGGCTAACTTATCTTCTTCAAGATCTCAAAGTTTCTTTTGAGCAACCATCTCTTTTGTATTATGACAATGACTCAGCAAGATACATTATAGCAAATCCAGTGTTTCATGAGCATACAAACCACATAAAAATAAACTGTCATATTGTCAGGGAAAAATTGAAGAGTCTCATTCACTTGTTTCCCATTTCCACCCCAAAGTAGCTAACAAACATCTATACCAAAACCTTAGGTCGTCAAGCTTTCAAGAGTATTTGTTCCAAGCTGGGTCTCATCAATATTTGCTCACTAGTTTACGAGGAGGGGGGAGGGGTATTAAAGGATATGGATACAAGGCTTCTAAAAGGAAGCTAATACCAATTTTGTTATTTTGTCTTTTATGACAAAATTAAATTGTAATTTTTTTTTATTCTTAGCTAATTAAATTTCGTAAATTTTTGAAATAATAAAATTTTCATTTTTAATTCAAGTTTCATCAACCATTTCAAATAGAGAAAAAGGTTACAAATTATATCAAACAGATGTTACATAACTTATTCAAGTACAACAATTTTCTAAAATAATGTCCTAAGTTCTATAGCAGTTCCATCCACCCCTTCACTGAGTCCGGTGCTGATCGTCTTGATTACCTAAAAATGAATGTAAAGGTGAGTATTGTACACTATCCAAAAACACACAGTTAGCATAAAGTCTCACCTCCAGCACATTTCCAATACATTAAACAAATACAATGACAAGCAGCGTTTCACATCCATAAGTACAAGTCATAAACCCATGTACATCCATGCCAGCCACACTCACTGTGGCACTGTGATCACAGATTTACACCATGAATAGTCACCGGTTACCCCCACCTCACGGATACCACGTGGGCAGTCACGGGTCGCTCAATAAAATTAGTAGTTAGAGGTCTAGTTAGGAAGAGAGTGTGTGGCCCGTGGTGCACCCGTTCCACAGTCGGTGTCACCACCACTCCCTTTTCCCCAAGGTATTTCTACCGTCCTCATCTTCCACACTCCCAATGTATCACTGAACCATTCACAGCACATTACAACGGCGCTAACACGCATCATTCACATACGTTTCATTCACACACACAATATTCATGCTTACACACGGCACATAACCCATATTTTATCCACAATATACGACACATAGCCTTCATTTATTCACAATATCATTAAGTCACCAATCATTGGCATTCCATCATACACAATTTCCCCCACGGGGCCTAACTATTCTAGCATACATCACATTGCACACTAATTTCCATCAAACACACGATTTCCACTCCCTATCTCAGCCACATTGCATTAATTAACAAAACACACAAGAATTACAACACATTTGAGATAGGTAGAGTCCCCCCTTACCTCGGATTGAAGACTCACACTCGGATTTGACCACGGACGTGCTCTCTACACAGATTGCGGCCTAAAATACATGGAAGAACTCTATGAGAACCCAAGGAAACCCAGAAATAGAGAAAAGGGGATGAGAAACGGAACCCTAACTATTAAAACTCACCTCAAAGTGTTCCCCACACAGATTCAACCTTCAATCAAGCTCTCGAACGGCTTTAGAGGCAATTAATCGGTGGAATAAGGCTTTGGGTATGAGAGGATCCAAGGGATTTCGAAGGGAGAGGGAGATATAACCCTCCTCGAGCCCTAACTCCTTTTAAATCCTTTTTTGGTCGCGACACTCTCGCTCCTTGCTGCAGCGTGAGGGAGTGTCGCTGCAGCAAAAATATCAGACGAAACTATACTCTGGTTTCTGCAAAATCTCACTACAGCGAGACTGCACCCAGAAATGCACTCAAAAATGTCACTCTGTCGCTACAGCGAGACGTCTCTCGCTACAGCGAGAAGACGACAGTTCTGGTCCTTCCTTCCAGGTCCTCTCGCTACAGCGAGAACAGCCCAGAATTACTCCTAGCACTTAGCCTATTTCAACCCTATCCAGTCATGCATACACATAATACACATATCCATATACTTAATATACATAAACATCATTATCAAATAAGTCAACACACACATATATATGCATTTAGATTTATATAAATACAATAATTAATATTACAAAAATTCAGGGCATTACATAAAGTAGAATTGTCTTATGCGGATGATATTTGTGATTTAGGAAAAAAAATTATGATAAAAAATGATGAAGAGTTATAGAGTCATTTAAAGAAAGATGAGAAAAGTAATATTTGTAATCCATCTCAATAAAATATGTAATAAAAAATTATTATTGTATAGAAATTGTAAAAAGTTGAAGAATTAAAAAAAAACTTTAGATCCTGTAAATTTTGTAAACTTTTTCATTTGTTCTTCTTTTAATTTATTTTTTAAATAAGACCCTCATAATATTTTTTCATTCTCATTATTCTCTTTTAGGAAGTTATTAATTTTCTTTGTTATCTGCCTATGTAACATATAATTTGACTTTTATAATATGACATCGAATTTATGTGGGTACTAGATAATAATGTGACAATATTTTTTATTTAATCTAAGATTGTTGACTCATATGATTTCATATAGTTATATAAAAAATTTGCTAAGTCAATTTTAGCTCAATACTTAAAATAACACAAGGAATCATTTAATAAAGGAAAGCTAAGTATGATAATGGACTCTAAACCGACAATATAAATAAGATACAATAGGTAGAGGACCCTTAACTGATAATATTAAAAAAAGTATTGTTCACGTCTATTGTAGTCTATAAAAAGAAAAACAAAGTATAAAATAAGTTTGATTGTTGACAAAAAAAAATGTAGAATTAAAAAATATTCTTTTTTAATAAATATAAAAATACCATTTTAGTTATTTTACATGCTAAATACATTTTTGGCAAAGAAATAAAAATAATGTTAAACTAAATCGCTTTTGTCAATATGGAGTTGTTGTTCTGGTCAAGACTTTTCATAAAAGAGTACTTTAAATGTCTCTGATTTTCATTAGAATATATAACACTATAAAAAGGAGACATCCATCATGTTGAATGTAGATGTTATCAACAAGTCTTCGTTCTATAATCATTAGAAAATTCTTTTGCTATGACTAGGTTTTCTTGGAAATTTTTAGGCTTTAATATAATATTTAAAATTGAATATATAGAGGCTTGTACAATAATATCGAAGAGTGAAACAATTTTAATTGTAAAAGTATTTGATAGTGAAATTATTGAAAGTTGTTAAGGATTATATGTAACTCTTGAATTATGCGGTGAGCCAATATAACTTTTAATAATATTCATTCTTTTAAAACTTTATATTTATTTATTTTCACAACAAAGTGATCCTTGAATTGAAACTTTAATTTTTTAAACAATGCCTTTACTTTGTTGATGATATCATGTATTACTTAAAACTAATAATTATTGAATAAAATTTAGAAAGAAAAAAAATTCGATTCAACTCTCTTTTCTCGTAATTTTTTTTCATTTTCACATTCATCCGTTATATAAAAAAAATTATTGTTATAACTTAAAATTTTATTAAAATTGTAAAAGATATAATATTGTTAATAATATAAGTTTTTTTATATCCCAATAAAATTATGTAATGCAACTAAGACATTAAAGATAAATAACGAAGGAAGTTCATAAATCACTAACAATAGAGTCGAATAAAAATGTAAAATAATTTCTGAAAAATTAAATTTTAAAAAATATAATGTGTGAGAAAAAAACATGTGTGATGTATTTAAATAAAAATACTAAATAAAATAAAATATTATTTATTTAATATAATTTTTATTTACAAATTTGTATATTTTAATTATGTATATTTTTTAACAAAAGAATTAATTTAATAATTAAAAAATCAAATATGAAAATTAAAATTAAAAGAATTAAAACTACAAATAACTTAAGTATTTTTATGTAAATTTTTTATAACTCAATTTTTTTCCTTTATCGTTACATTGTTTATTTTATTTTACTTTTCTTTCCATCACTTAATCAAATAAAATATTTTAAATACTATTATTTTATTTTATTTTATTTTGGTAAAAGACCTTCCTACTACTTATTGCTACTTTAATATATGAATTATATTTTCTACTTATCCATTCTTTTGTTTGTGACTTTGGTATTTGAAAAATAATATGCTTTTTAATGATGATAAATGTAGTATTTATTATGTTTTTAATTTTATTAATTAGTTTAAAAATAATTATTTTTTGTTAATTTTAAACAAGTTAGCTATCAAATCTACTTATTTAGAGTTTAGAATTTAAAGTTTAGATAAGTATCAAATTTATTTATTTTTGGGAGATGTCCTAACATTTATAATTTTTTGAATACTATAAAATTAATATGATCGGTAGTTGTAAGAAGAATGAAAAATAAGACAGTGACTAATAAAGTTTATTATTATTTTTTTCTGATAATAAGTTTATTCTTTATGTTGAATTGAAAATAATTTTTTAGAGTTTTCACTTGAATATATTAAAAAAATTTATTAGATAATTTTTGAATTTGATTATTTAAAAATAATGAAACTTATTTTAAAAAAATAAAGATTAATTTAACTTAAAAATGTGTTATATTCAATAAAATATTTATATACAAAACTTCTCTCGTATGTTATTCGTCAAGTTAATTATTTTACATTTTTGTTCTAATTTTTTTCACTATTATCCTTTTTTTAATTTTTAGTTCTAGATAATACAAAATTGTAGTTTGTTTTTTTTTTCTCTGTGGAAAAAAAAATACTTTTTCTAACTACAAAAAAATTAAAATGAGTGCTCTCAGGAAGTGTAGGTGGTACATTAATTTTATGATATTTTTTGGAAAAAGAAAAATCTGAAGGCCATACTGCACAGGGAGAAGGACTTTGAAGCAGAAGAAACATAGAATTTACAGAGAGAATGGTCAAACATTACCGGTGGCGCCGGTGAGTAGTTGATAAACCTCTCTCTAACCTTCTTTCTATTCCTTTCTCTCTCTTGCTTAGTCTTCGAGTTCTGCGGAGCTTGTTGGTTTCTCTCACCTTTCACCTTTACGGCCTCTGATCCAAACAAAAATCTCAACTTTCTTCAGCAATTCAGCTCTACGATTTCTGGGCAGTGCCTTTGTGATATGGAGGTGACTTCTCTTGCTTTTTTCTCTCTCCTCTTTGTCACTTCTTTTGGTCCTTGATTTGTGTGTCTCTTGCTGCTGAGAAGATTTGAGGCAAAGGGTAGGGAATCAGAGTATCAATCTCTTGCATTATGATGTAAATGTAATCTTTTATGTTAATTTTTTTTAATTTTCTCTTCATCTTCTGAGGCTCTGATACAGTTGACCAAAATTTGATTCGTTTTTAGGTTTGCATATAAATCAACTACTAGTAACTCGTTTTCCTGCTTATTGGGACCGTGGGGCAATTCATTTAGAATACTGGGATATATGATTTTCTTAGTTTGTGGTCGAATGTGGAAACTAGTCTCATAAATAAGTCTCCTTTAAAACTTTAACTAAGCTTGGTGGAAAGGATTTCTTTTGTTTTCATGGATTTTTGACCTGTCAATAAAATGATATCCAAGGTCTATTTGTATTACTATTAGCATTATTGGAGAAATAGTAATTCTTCAATATAAATTATGGTTGAGTTATCATAGACAAAATAAAAGCGGTATAAAGTATGCTCTTCTGCTGTTCCTATGTTTGAGGAAAACCTTCTACGAGCTGTAAATTGTTTGCATTCGAAGTAGCATAGCTCGGTGATGCACATGCAATTAATAATAAAAACTTCACAGCATCCAACTGCTAAAGATAACGCTGCTATTTTAGATTTGTAGTATGCTATTGGGCAGATGACCTATTATCATGTTGGATTTGATCTTTGAATATTTTAGGGATCCAAATTTGTTTTAAAAAAAGGCTATAATAACCGATATTTCTCATTATTTGCTTTAGTGGTGTTATACATATAACAAAGGAAAACATTGTGCCCCCAATTGGTGGCTTTTTCCACTTTCCATCACAGTTTGCTTTAATAAAGTATTATTGTGATATGCTTTACGCAGATTAATTTAGCTACATTTAACTCCTATGCATGCAATGCAACTCTGGATAAATCTACTTTCAGCTGTTTAATATGTATTTGGCCTTCTAAAGGAAAAAGGAGAATATAATTCTTTATTTAAAACAAAGAGGTGCCTTTGAGCTTTTCATTCCCAAGAAGATTACTACGATTTTTTCACTTTTTCAAACAGTTATGATCTTATGTAAGATCAGCCGGTAACAATCAGAAATCTCTTAGAGATGCAAACTGTATTCGATGGAATAGGAAATCATCCTTCTTTAGCAGTTCTATCATTTTATATGAAAGTGAAATAGATCCTTGTATACTATAATAGTATATACTGTTGGGTCCACAATTTTTTAACACATCATTTGATAGAGTAAATCACCAAATAAGAAAAAATAACAAGTAGTATCTGTAATGTATCAATCTCACTTGAATGGAAAAGTTTAATAGTGACTGAATACAGAAACAAATGGGGAAGGTGAAACAGAAAAACATGAGATTATCCAACGAATTTTCTTGTGGTTGTTTAAGTGTGTAATTGGCTATTAACAAAGCCAAAGCTTTTGAGTGTATTGATTTTCTAATAGGAAAATTATTTCTTAAGTATTCATATTTGTCATAACAACCATATTTCAACTAGGAATTTATTTTAATTGCCAACATCTCTTGCCCAAGCCTTAGGCCAAATTCTTACTACAATTCTTCCCCACTTTTGTTTCCTTTTTTCTCTTTTAACCAAATTCCCAGAATGCATACCCCTTATGGGCCCCCATTGTCTTGCCTACTCAGCATGTGGCACCTTGTCACCTCTCCTAGAATATACCTTGCAAGCTGTGTCGTCTCTGTTTACCCACTGGTCTAGTAACACCACCTTATTTCCTGAGTCAGTACACACTGGTCTCATTATCATTTCTCTATTGAAATAACCTTTTATCATGTTGAATCTCCTGAAGTGGTCAAATTCATTCCTAATTGCAATGAAAGCAAAAGGAGCAACATGTTTTCTTTCCTTTCTCTGTTATTTCTCCATTGATAATTCTGATCTGATACTGGAATGATGTTTATTAACATTCAAAACTTGTATCAATTACTTAATAGCATCTTTTCAATTTGTTGATTTGACAGCAACGTTCTCATGTTCCAAAGTTTGGAAATTGGGAGAGTGGAGAGAATGTTCCTTATACAGCTTATTTTGACAAAGCCCGGAAAGGTCGACCTGGTTCAAAGATGATTAATCCAAATGATCCTGAGGAAAATTCAGATCTAGTTTCTTCTGCTGACATACCCCTTTCAAAACCCGGAGTTGATTCAGAGGATCCATCTGCAAAGGGATCAGGGAGATCAACACATGAGTTACAAAAGAGTAGGGAGGATAGTGATCCCAAACAGTTTATTGACTCTCCGGCTCGTCATGACAATGCAAGCAACAGGAGTGGGAGTGATTATGCCCATCGGCATGGAGTAGCTTCTGCTGACAACCGTAGAAGACCTTCAAGACAAAGTACTGGGTCTGAATACAGCATTGACCGCTCACCCCTTCATCGCCAGGCAAAAGCCCCTGGCAGAGATAGTCCTTCTTGGGAAGGAAAGAATTCATATGACAGCAGCCATGGAACACCAGGAAGGTCCCGATTAAGACCACTTAACCGAGGGGATGAAACTGTTAGTTTCCTTTTCTACTGTCCTGTTTTATTACCTTGTGTAGCGTGAAATAATAAAATCATATGAATATATATTGCCTCAATGATTAATCAGTGTGCAAATTTCTAAGGTTTCTGATTATAGCATTCTGATTTGGCAGCCTGATAAAGGTGCTGCTGTTCCGAAATTTGGTGAGTGGGATGAGAGTAACCCTGCATCAGCTGATGGCTATACTCACATTTTCAACAAAGTGCGTGAGGAGAAACAGGTTGGGACCGGACATGTGCCAGGCACACCAAATGGGAGACAATATGTTGTTGGGAACCAACCTGCCAATGACAAAGCTCAGGTATTCCTTCTACACCTGTTTAATATTTAGTCAGTAGATATGTAACTTCGGAGTTTTCATCATACTGATGTTTCATTGACTGTGTTTTTATTCTTGCTTCTCCAGAGTTGCTGTTTCTGCTGGGGGAAAAAATGATTTATTTGCAGTGTGAATTATATTCTGAATAGAAAAGAAGACAAGAATAGTGTTGTGAATGGTCATGACCTTTGTGTAGCAGATGTAAATATTCAAGGCTCTCTCTTCCCAGAAACATCGTTGACACACGTTTGTCTTAAATTTGTACCTTTTTTTTTTTATCCCTTTTCGTATCTTTATTTTGGTCAAGGGAGATGCTTTGCATGCAGGATTGTGATTTGTCCTTTCTATCATCTTTTTAATCATTTGTTATGTAACTGCCACGCTTTATTATTCGATTTATCTGTATTTAGCTGGGATATGCAAGATTTGTTATATAATTCTTTTATAATGAATTAATGGGTTGTGATTGGGTCTTATTCAATGTTGTCATGATCCGGATTTTACATAGGACCATGTGGGGGTAAAAGATTGTAAATCATGACATTATAAGATAGATCATCAGATCTTATTAAACATGTAAAATTAAACTTTTATATATATATATATATATATATATATATATATATATAAATATTATAAAAGCAAAAAAAATAATAGAGATAAATAAATTAACATCTAAATCACATAATTTAATTAAACATTAACTTAAAAGATATAGATTTAAGATTCAATATAATAAGTAATTAGTCAAACTTAATTTGGTATAATATATTTTGTTAGCTCCAATCAAGATAATTATTATCTTTAAAATAATAATTTTTATCAATAGCATCCACATTGGCCTCCTCATCATCACAGTAGGAGAAGGTTCAAATCATTCATAGGTATGCTTGTATTATCAACAATTCTACTTGCATCTCTAACTTAAATCAAGTTCTCATCTGAATTTATATTGGGTTTTAGTTCATTCTCCTCCTCCACAACCCAATCATCTTTAATGTCAAAGTTAAGCTTTTTTCTCCTCTTAATACTCTTGCCCAATTTTGATTTGGCTATGACAAATACAACATCATTTGTCGTCTTTTGTTTTAAATGATTTATTTTCTTGGTGTGAACCTAAATAATAAAAAAATTAATTAATAGTTAGTTTAACACAATAAATAAAGTAGTTTCCTTGTTAATTTTAAGAAATAACTTACCATTTCAAAAGCACTCCAATTACGATCACAATTGAATTAGTTACATGTTAAGTTCAATACATGAACCACTAATTTTTGCAATTCTCAATGTTGTCCACCATAAGATTTCCACCATTATGCCAGAGTTTTGACATTCAATCTAGTAATTACTACTTATGTACCAAAAAAACTCTTTCTTAACTTTGAAATATTTCACTTGACCATTAATCTTATTCACTTCACCCATGTCTTCTGCCATTCTTTCTAAATACTCTTATAATTCACACTTAACTTTAAAATCTGAAGTATAATGCAAAATTGAGTTAAGGTAATAACTTGTAAAGGTCTATGCAATTGGTTGTTCCAGCTCTAATCAATTATCTTCTATAGTAGCATGAAACAAGAGATTAGAGAATGAAAAAAAAAAAAGACTTTTCAAATCAAAGCTATAAATTATCAAATAGATTATAAAATTGAAGTCTTATATACCTTTTTTTAACACCATTGAAGTTCTTCTGAATCTTCTCCTTATCTTGATCCATTTTCTCATAAATGAAACTCATGATTGACTTGTCTTATGAATCCACCATACATAATATTCTAATTAAAGGATAAACAATCGATATCTTTCCAAAACTCTTTATTTATAACTAGATTTTCAACAACTATTTCATCCTTAGTTTTTGCAAATTTACTATTTTTCTATTCTTTGGATGTAAACATTCTCAAAATGGTCCTTTATTATCATTCAAGCATCCTAAAGTCAAGTAGGATGTAGCAAAATGTGTAGTTGAAGTTCTAATCAAATTTGTACCTTGAGTAAAGCAATGCAATAAAAATATAAGACCGGTCCTAGAATACATGTAAGTTGTGATCTTTTTATCGCTTGCAATAGTTTCTTTATGCAATGGTATCTTATTCTCAAAATCCTCCAACATAAGATCAATGCAACGTGCAACACAAAGTGTCTAATAAAGCCTTTTTCTCTTTTCCATCAACATTTCTCTTACTGCCTTATAATTTGTAGCATTGTCCATCACAATTTATACTACGTTTGTTTCTCTAACTTCTTCAACAACCTTATTTATCATCTTGAAAATTTTGTCCATTATTTTTCATATGTCAGTTGCATCAATGGACTTGAAAAACATAGTTCGTGCTAGATTATTTACCAAAAAATTAAATATAGTCCTCCTCCTTTTGTCAATCCATCCATCAGTCATTGTGGTACATCCATTTTTTTTTCCAACAAGCCTAGTATTCTTCCAAAATCATATTTGTCTCCTTAATTTTTTGTTTCAAATATTTTACCTGAATCTCATGGTAAGATGACGACTTAAATCTAATACCATGTCAAGCAATTTTGTAACACTTCTTTTTAAATTCTTCACTCTTCACATCAATGAAAGATATTGCATTATTATAGTAAACATGCATTTTCTCTCAAATTTTGCTTAAAATTGAATTGATTGTAGCTTAGGTGGTCACTTTTTCTTTCTTGAGAAAGGTTGTTGAGAGTCTGAACATCACCCTTGGTTTTTTCTTTTTTCTTTTTAAATTGATTTTTTTATGCATTTTTCTTGCAATCTTAACAACAATGTCCCACATTTGCTTTCGAACATCATTATTGATGTTCATGCAAGCTCCAAAATTTTGCTTTGTTCTTACTAAATGAATGATCTTATGGTATATTCATTCTTACAATAATTAGATTTAATTCTTTTGGCACATAAAAAATAAAAACACCATAATTTCATGACACATCATTTTATGTTATACCAACATTATTATTTGATTTTGATCTTCCAGTTCCCCCAGCCACAGCAATTATACTTGCCACTCCACTGGATTGAAACCTCTTTCTTTTTCCACTCCCGTCAACTTCATTGTATTGGAAACCAAGATAGAAAACAATGAAAAGTCCCACGAATTGAAAAAATAGTAGATCACAGAAGTACACCCAGTGGCAATGTCCATTGTTCAAAGCAAACAGAACACCCACACATCACTTAGACAACACACATGGAACTGCAAACCAGCTATACATGAGAGTTGCGAACCATCCACGAATAGAGAGTCACTAACCACCCACGCACAGAGCATGAACCACCCATGCAAAAGCATGCCCAAAGAGCTGCGAACTACCCATGCAGAAGCACATCCAGAAAGCCGTGAATTGTAGGAATAATTGAGTTAAATCTAATTATATGAATTTAGAATACCAATTGTGAAGCGGTAGTAAAGTCACTTACTTGTTGTAGACATTGTGAATTATATCGTAAATGACCTACATGAAGTGCGAACCTCTTCGTGAGTGAAAAGTTAATATCTTCCTTTGCCTAATTACACTCTCCTAATCCTAGGTTCTCAATGGGACAAACCTAAAGAGCAATGGAATGTATTTTTGCGATGACAAAGGAGACTTAGCCACCATATTTATTAACCATAGACACTTTCTATCACAGACCTAAAGGTTAGGCCCACACTATATCCCACACAAATCAGTATTAAGTGTCCAAAGCCATGAGTAATTGATCATATTATTAATAGGCTTAAGCATCATCAAATGGATCATAATATTAGCCCGTTTTTAACAAAATAAAAATAATTACAATTGATTGTAGTCCATAATGAATTTTATAGAAAATTCTAAAACGAATCACCCTAGCAGAACCCTGAACATAGCCACTCACGCAGAAGCACGAAGAAGAAGAAAGCATCACACATGTAGAAGCACAAAGACGAAGAAGAGAAAGGAGGTGTCTCAATGCATGAGATAGGGTTCATCAGTGGCAGATCCAGGACCCTAAGGTCAAGGGGTGCAAAGACATAAAATTAAGGGGGTGCAAAATATTAAAAAAAATTATATTATTTATAGTAATTTATTAAGATTGAAAAGGTTTATGAAAGTTGAGGGGGTGCATTTGCCCCCTTTAACTCCATGTGCATTTGCCACTGGGGTTCATAAGTGTGTGTGGGTTAAAAAAAAAACTTATGGGAAATGGATTTTTTTTTAAATCGGGTCCTTATATTTAATTGAAACCTTGTGATTGAATTTGATCGTCGATCACACAATCTTGCTAAAAAATATCATGATCCCAAGCAATCATGGAAGAATATGATCTTCTATGCAATCCAGATCGTTGAAGGAGAAAAGGTCGCAAGATCATATGATCTCATAGTTAAGATCGTGACAACATTGGTCTTGTTGCATTGATCTCCGAGTTAATCTCTTGTAACTTCACTCAATGATTCTATTCTATAACAAATAGTTTCATAAATAGATATGTTCTTTCTCTATGCAAGTTATGGTGGTTCTTAAAACAGTTGATTGAATTTGCAAATTATTGTTGACCTTTTCGCCCCAGTCATTCCCTGTTAGCAACCTTTTATTCACGGATCATTTGTGAATTTATACCCTTTATTTTAAGCAATATTGTGAAAAATTCCGTAGTATGAACATTATTTCATGCTTTCTAGGTTACATACAAATAAACAAATGCACACAGAGAAAAAGGTTGCATTTTGATTGCTATTGCCTATTGCAAAGATTAAGGGCCTTCTTGTTTTACTTTTAGTAAAATTGATTTTGATAGAATTAGTTTAAACTGTTTAGCATTAGTAAAATGTGTGTCTAAATTAATTTTGTCATAGTAGGAAGAATTGATTGTGTGTTTGCCAGATGAAATGGAACTTTTACTTATGTAATTATAACATAAGTGAATCCATTGATTGCGCTAGAAGTAATTGGTGATAAACTAAGATATTTGACCATTTTAAGTTATTTTTGTAAGAGCCTAATAGGCCAATTGTTGTTTTTTTTTCTTTATCCAATTTTTGTATTAGACCATTTATTTATTTATTAAGTTGTAAAAGGCCATTAATTCTTTTTTTTATTGTTTTTGTAATAGCCATTTTTTTATTTTTATACACACAATAAATTCACAAAAATATAAATAAGTTCATAACTAAACAAAGTTCTAAAAGCAAAAAGTCCATACATATAATAAGTCTACAAAAATATAAAATAAGTTCACAATATGAACAAAAAAGTTCATAAAGATTAAAAATGTCCATCAAATATTTAAATATAAAAATTTAAGAACATGAAGCTTCTTGAGAAAGCTTGGAATCATCAAGAGTAATAGTCTCTTTTTCATGAACATCATCTTCATTATCATATTCTAAAAAAAAAATGTCTATGTTAGTAAATTTATATAAAGTAAATTTAAATCTTAGATATGACAATTTTGTATTCTAAGAAAAAAAAAACCTTCAAAGCCATATAACCAACT